ATATGTTATTAATATGAATACATGTTCTATGGATTAATGGATGTTCTATGGATTAATGGATGTTCTATGGATATTATTGATCAATGATTGCATCTTTGAGATGCACATTATGCAAGTGCGTATGTGCTTGAAAATTGTTATGCAGGTCTGTTTGTGTATGAAAATTGCGATGTAGGTCTGTTGTTGGTTTCATAATATATACAAATGTCTCTGACATCTCCCTCGAACTTACCGAAGGCTTATGCCCTTCGGTAAATACCCACGTACGCTGATTACCGAAGGCTTCTGCCCTTCGGTAATTACCGAAGGGCGAAAGCCCTCGGTAAATGTTAGCGACAAGGGTATTACCGAGGGCTTTTTGGCCGTCGACAAGCCGTCTGTAAATGTCTTCTACCGACGGTTTTGAGCTTTTTCCGAGAGCTTTTGCCCTTCGGTAATGTCCTTCTTTTTTGTAGTGAAAAAGCTTTTTATACTAATGAAGATATAAATGGACCACATGTCAAGTCCATATAATGTGACAACCGTCATGTGTGAGTTTTGATGTGAAGTATCATTAACTTAATTTCAATTTAGTTACAATATCATTAACTTAATTTCAATTTAGTTACTATATCTCTTTCTCTTTGACTCAATTACTTCCAATTCTTTTTTAAATGGAACAATATTATTCCTTTTTAATTTGAAACAAAATTTATTATTTTTATAAATGTTATTTTGATGTTTTTATTAAAAATAATTTTTCAACCTATTACATAATTATATATTACTAATTTATGTTTTTGTTAATATAATATTGTTTTTATTTTATTTCTTTTATTGTGAATCAAGATATACCAACATATAAAATGAAAGACATGTGCTTCTTTGATGCATATTTTACGGAGATTATTTTTTATTGAGTGTATTTATAAAATAACACTTTGAAGTGGATAAAAGCTCGTAGGCTAGCACTCATATACTTTAGGTAATCATATCATAACAAGTTGGTTCTATTTTTTTATTCCTTTAATGAAATATTTTTCTATAGAGATAATGGTCGATATATACTGAAAATCATCACACAATTAAAAAAAAAAAAAAGAAAGAAAAACTTACTGATACAAAACTCATCAGATCTAGAAAACACATACATGTGTAATTTTTATTGCTTCAATAAACTTAGATGCGAAGGCTTTCTATATATGTTCTGTTGCATGTGTTGCAAACGTTGTTTAATCTTGAGTTACACTTTATCTAATTAAAGGCAGGAGAACGTATGATCCCATCATCAACTGCAAAAACAAACACATAAGTACTTATGTTATTAGATGTTTCCTTTATAAGCTGGATATTGAACTATTCAAATAGAAACAATGTTTAAGAGAAGAATTACCTTCCAGATAAAGGAATAGAAGGATCTAGTGGAAGCTGGATTTGTCACATCTACGTATTTGGTCTGGTACAACAGAATTGAACCAAGAACAATATTTCCAAGACACTAAAACATAACACAGATTTTGCTTAAATTTTGTTCAAAAGTTTAAATAACTTTATGCTCATTTATAATGATATATAAAAAACAATGAACCTATATTTGTATTAAAAAACAATAAGAAATCTGTTAATCTAAATACAGATATATGGCATACCATGAGAAAGTAATGTTAAACATAAGGGATGTTGTTCAAAAGGAAACAACAATGTGTACTTCACTTTATAAACTTATCAGCTTATATATCATTTGTTATACATTTTCTTTTTCATTTTTAGTCTATTTTGCTATCGACAACGCAGTCTCTCTTGTTGGACGAACGAAATATAGAATCCTGTGTTGTATTAATAATTGAACCCTATGCCTGATTAAATAAAGAAATAATTCGTGTTATTTTAAAAATTAATGTATACATCACTTAAAAATACCATAATCCTATTTTCTTAATTTAAAATAAGTATTTTTAGGATAAGACATTTAAAAAAAAAAGTAGACCGAATTTATTTTTTAAAAGAAAAAACAAAGATACTATTTACTTTTAGAAGTAAAACATATTAGACAAATATACAAAACAAATAAAAATCTGCTTAGTTTATTAGAAAGAAAATATTTACTTTGAAAGAATATACTCAAACAAAACCGGGTATTATTATAAGACTTTGTTCATCAAAATCAAACTACATGTTGCAAAAAAAAAAACAAAAAGAATTATGCATACGTAATAAAATTCCAACCTATATATAATATAATAAAAGTATGTTACCGTGACAATTTTAATCCCAAAATGAGATGAAGATGATGCTCCTGCCAAGAAGGCAACTCCAAATGCCATTTCAAAAAGGAAAACACAAATCCAAAATACCTATCAAAGATTTAGAATCTATCAAATATTATACAAAGAGGAGATATAACCAAAAGAAAATATTGAATTTAAGAAACATACTTTTTTCTGGCCTAAACGTGCTGCGAATGAAACAATGCCATGTTTTATATCTCCTTCTACGTCAGGTATATCCTACAGAAATCCAATATAAGATATTAGATTATTGGACCAAAAGCTTGATGTTGGAAAATGAATACATCTCCTGAGAAAATAAAGACATTACCTTGGCTAATGTTAAACCAGTAATGTAGATACTCATGAACAAGAGAGAAACAATCAATGATCTTGTAAACACAACTGGTCTCTTGAACACAAAAGTCTGAACATTTGTTACATCAATTAGCAATTTAGTAAATCCATTTCTGATTGGTGGATCCAAATGGTTGATTGTATATCAAATGAAACTACCAAAAATATTGGGATGAATATTTGTTATTATTCTTTGAAAGTGATAATATGTTGAAACATGCTCATTCAAAACTAAGATCTATAAAAGGAAAAGATATTATAGTGGTAGGAAAAAACCTGCATATGAAGGAAGTATGTAACTGGAAATATATATGCAAAAGTAACAAACATGAGTAATGATGCCAGCACCGGATTTTGCTTCCATCGTAAGAAAGGCAACTGCAGAATATATATATATATATATATATATATATATATATATATATATATATATATATATATATATATAAGAATACTCAGTGCACCAATATACCTTAAAACATAATACTCAGTAAAATGCCATTGGAAAGAACTCACATTGACTGAATAGCAAGTCCATAATGTAACGCACAACACAAAGTTCCAAATCAATGGCGGAGAACCTATCATCAAGTTAAACCCTAGACCCTGTAAAATAGAATAAAACCGTAATTCTCCTTTTTTTATGAATTTAATCGTAAAATCTTTTATTCTAAAAAGTGATGGGTCTATATGGCACCAAAATTGCAGATAAGGCAACAATAAAGGCACAAGTTCTGAAGGATAATTTGCCAGCAGCCAATGGAAGATACGGTTTGTTTATCTGCAATAAAACATGTAACATAGATTACTTCTAAGAAACATCCAAAAGGTTTGTACACTATAAAAAGTTACATGCCTTCACTATCCTATCAAAGCATGTGGTAATTATAGGAAGACTTCCGATTCGAAATTATAAAGCGATTATTTTGCTACAAGAACCTGTAAAGGGACTTCATAGAATTCATAGATCTCACAGAAAAAATATTTCATTGATTAATGTGCTGTCATGTACAGAAAAGCATAGGTCATATATATTAGGATGAAGAAATCACCCTACATAACAAAAAGTAACGCTCCTTACACGTAGGCATTGGATAAGACAAAAAGATATTTATTGTAATACACCACTCAAGCGGTACTATGAACATCGAACAGTCCCAACTTGGAGACAAATTGTGTGAAAGCTTTGGGATGAAGAGCCATAGTAAATTTGTGCAGAAAACCACGTTGAATTTTATCAAGAATGCTCGTGAAAAGTAGGATTGTGGGCCATTGCAACTCACAAGTCAGAGTTGTAAGAACTTTATATTCAACTTCAGATGAAGACCGAGATATTGTGGTTTACTTGGTTTTCCAAAAAAATAATGAAGAAAAAAAAAACACGGTGATAGATTTCCAAGTTTCTATACAACAGCCTCAATCAGAATCAGCAAAACTAGAAGGAATAAAGATAAATTGACCACAAAATGAAGACCTTTAACATGAGGTCCTTTGAGATAACAAAACGCTCTCATGGCAGAACGATGATTAGTGTCCATGGGTTGAGAGAATGACAAAAACTAGGTCTAGTTTGCTAGTTGTAAGATACATCAGTTGATCAATCAAATGGTGAAAAACTTGAGGGTCAAATAAAGAAGTATCGGAAGAGCTATTTAATTTGGTAGAAGTATCATAGTAAATTGGTTATGATAATTAGGTGGTATAGTAGTGTACAGGAAATAGATTACGGATTTGTGATGAGGAGGTGTGATATCGTATTTAAGTTCTTGGTGTGTTGTTGATGTGTTTATAATTATGATGAATATTTAGCATTTCTTAGCCATATTATTATTCTTATTATGATTGATCCTTAGTTAGCTCACCTCTATGTTTCTGGTTGTGGTTTCCACCAATGGTGATTGTTATATGGGAGTATAATTCGGATGTGGTAAAACACTACAAGCGAATGGAGAGAATTGGGAAATTTACGGGTTTATTTTAAATAAAATATTTTATTGCCAAATTTATTTTGTAATCAATTGGAGTTATGGTTTAGTCTTGATTAATTGTAAAGACTTATTGAATTTGGATATTCACAATTTTAAATTTTAAATTTTTGCTTGTAACCGTGACATCCCAAAAGTTGGGATGTTACACTTGACATATTCAATTTCATTAAAATCATTGCCCTCAAAAGTTGGGAATTTACACTTGACATATTCAATTTCATTAAAATCATTGCCCTCAAGAACTATGTCATCAACATAGATTAATAAAATAGTGAAAGAAATATACCCCTATATTCTTTATGAAGGGATAATGATCAACCAAAGATTGAGTGAATTTATGGGCTATTAAGGTTATGGAGAGCTTAACAAACCATTGTCTATTAGCTTGTTTTAATCCATATAAGGATGATTTTATATTTACAAATCTTATTTTGATGGAAAGATTCCATGTTAGAGGTAAATTCATATAAACTTCTTCATGTAGGTCACCATACAGAAATGCATTATTAACATCTAATTGTTCAAAGAACTAGCTTTTAGCAACACCCATGACAAGGATGACTCTTATTGTTGTGAGAATTGCAACGAGAGAAAAAGCACCAAAATAATTCATCCCTTCAAGTTATGTATATTCCTTAACGACTAAGTGAGCCTTGAGCCTTTCTATGCTACAATTAGCATGAAATTTTATCTTATAAACTCATATATAATCAACAAACCTTTTATTAGGGAGAAGATAAACTATCTGCCAAGTATGGTTTTGTCAAAGAGCTACAGGAGCTACAATATCAAAATTCATAGTTTGCACCCAACAGTCCATTTTGGAAGCTTGAGTATATGTTTTTGGCTCAATTAGAGAAGATATAGAACAAAAAAAATTTAAAAATTGGGAGAACGTTGTTTATAAGATGTATAGTATGATCATTCGATCCATGGTATGGATACAAAGATCTACTTCCCCATATTAGCTCCCTTCATGACCATACGGTTGAGAGAGAAATTGTAGAGATTGATGTTAATTCTAACCAGTTTAAGACAAATTGTAACTACTAACAATTGGGCCATAGTGACTAATCAAAAGCTCATTCTGCAATCTATAAATATAGATAAAAGGTAAGGAGATAGTTGATTGCATTTAGTACAATATAAATACTTGAATAGGAAAATCCATACTGACTTTGACATCAAAGTACATTAATTCTACACGTAACCTCCCAATTTACGGAACAATTTTATTAAACGAGAATCGGACAACTTGGAGTTGGACATTATTCTTAGATCTTTAATTTCAACACTCACATCTAAAACATAAGATAAAAAGGCCAACAAAGGATAATGAACAAAAGAACGATTGTTACCGAATGACATATTTGTATTGCAAACAATAGTTAGGTAGTAGAGATAATCTCTCTAGTAGTGATAATCTCTCTAGTAGTGTGGCCATTGTCTTTGTTGCATGGAGTGTCCATGTGTTTGTGGAGCAGTGCATAATATTGGACCAATAGTATAATTTGGGTCATCTAAAATGGTCATATATATATATATAATATATATATATATATATATATATTTATATATATATATATATATATATATATTAAAGAGAGCAATATTCTCATATATTGGTTTTGGCATATTTTTATTAGTCATATTAGATTCAACATCTAATTTAAAAGGAAAGGATGTTTCATAAAAAACCACATTTCTAAAGACAAAAGTTTGTCTACATTTAATACAACAAGTATCCTTTAGTCCCTTTTTTGTATCCAATAAAAAGAATTTGTTGGGCCTTCGTAGATAATTTGGTTCGTCCATGTTCTAAACAGTTTAAGTAGGCCAAACAACCAAAAATTCTTAAGTTTTTGTTTGTATTATATTTTGTAGCAAAGGTGTTGGCAATCTATATTAATGAGATGATCATAGTGGATGACAACATAGGACCAAAGAGATTTTGGTAAATTAGTTTGAAACATCAACATTCATAATATGCCAATGCTTTTGCTCAACTATAGCATTTTGTTGAGTTGTTTTAACACATGTTGTTTGATAAGAAATTCTCTTCTCAAGGAAAAAGTCTATCATTAAAAGTTATGGTCCATTATCATTCAGATTGCCTTAAGCATTACATCAAATTGTGTTTCTATATAATTAACAAAATTCTTCAAGTGATCTCTAGTTTCACTTTATGTTTCATTAATTTAACCCATGTAAATAGTGAAAAATCATCAATGATGGTTAAATTTTTTTATAACCAATAATGGATACGGTGGAACATGGTCCCCAAATATTAACATGTAAAAGATCAAAGATTTGTATTGATTTAGTCGTACAAGAAACAAAAGAAAGGTTCCTTTGTCTAGCAAATTAGCATACATCACGAGGATATGAAGTTTAGAAGGTTACCAAAGGAAGCTATGTAAATAATAACTTTAACTTTAAATTTGAAACATGACCAAGTCGTGGATGTCAAGCCTAGATGTAACAATAATATTGGAGGCTATAGAATTGGATATGTTCTGAATGTATCGATAGGGAGGCTGTTGGAGGGGCTGATATGCCTAGGGGGTGTCGCTGCTGTAGAGGTGAGTTCTTTATTTTGTGAATGATGAAGAATTTTTTTATGAAGGGCTGATGAAGAATTTGATGTGTCGTTAAATGTCTCCAGTGTTATGTATTTTCTCTGAATTGGTTTGGTACTTTGTTCTGTGAATGAACAATGATGTTGAAATTATTGAAATTATGTGCAATAAGTTTCCTTTGAAACCTTTGCCCCTATCAAATCCCTTTGATTTTACTTGATGAATAATAAACCTTTAATTTGTGAATGAATTTGGCTATTGAATTTGAGGCTTATTTTATGTATTTGTTGTTATAATTGACCTTATATATGTAATGGGTTGAAGACTAAGCAATTAATGGTTGACTAAAGATATACAGTTTTATCATTACATTAACCCTGCATTGCATTGAGTGAATGACATAAGCTATTAGCGGTTCAATCCCATTCCTCCTTGTCTTACCATGGCACTAGAATTTTTTGGTGGTGTTGTTCTTCCAGTTGTCCTTTAGGTGGCATTTGAAAAGCTAAGGGAGTCCTTAAATTATCTATTTGTTTTGTGCAAAGAAGGTTGATCAGAAGCTGCTGACCAAATTGGAAACCAAGCTACACTCAAGTTGTTAATTATGCTCTTTAGTTCTTAAAAGTATGAGAATGAGGAAAATTGAATATGAATTGGTTAAGTTCAATGATAATATGCTCTATTCCGACAAAAGTGAATTAACCCAAAGATTAAGCAACTTGAATTGACGATAGTATAGATTCTTCTGTTGTAAGGGTGTAATGAGTTATGTAATGACATATTCATATGATAGTTTTTTGTAGAGGGGTGGTTCCTTATGTAGTAGGGAAGATGAATTTAATTTTATGATATATTTAGTAGTTTTTAATGTTATTAGAGTTCTTTGGGATGTTAGTTATGTTGGAAGTTATATTTTGTGGAATTGAAGGTTTGATCCTAAGGGAGTCTTTTTAAGCTAGCTGTTATGATATATTTAGATGGGATTAAGCAGAATTGGTAATAACTTTAAGTGTACATGTTTCTCTACAATTGAATTTGGTTTGATATGGTTGTATGTATATGGGAATTTCCTAAACTTTGTTTACTTATCTTTAGTGTAATTAAAGGTTTTTGATTCAATTTCTTGGGTAGTTTAATCTTCACTTAGTAGGCTAATCAGTGTCGGTTTAAGGTGATAGGAGCGTATAACTATTTTTAATTAGGGATTGGAATCATTGCAGTGGAGCCAATAAACCAACATGTCCTTAATCTTTGTTTAATCTATGCTTTAATTAGTCTATTTCCATTCACACAAACTGTCCAAAATCACCCCCCACCACGGTTTGACCTAATGATTGAACCAATTTTAGTCCTAGAGAGACAACCTAGAAGTCACTTCCTAGTATTATACTCCACTTAACTGCATATTAATTTGATTCGGGTACGGCCTCGATCACCTTCCATGTTCGACTTAAGTAGTAATAGGTTTATTACTTATGTCACATGGAGTGTTCTTGTTTTGGCTAAGTTTTTCTTCTTTTGGCTTGCCACAAAACATGGCCTAAGTCCCCAACCATCGTGGGTGGATGTAAACCGTTGTTATAGCGGTAAGAGAGATTTGAAAGAAACCTTTATTGTAGGAGTTGAAGAGTTTGTCCAGACGTCTCGACAATATAAATATTACAGTCTTAATGGATGGATTCAATCTCCATGCATCAAGTGTGAATGTACAAGAATTTTGAAAGATGAAGTCGTCAAAGTTCACTTATACCGAAAAGGTTTCATGCCAAATTACACGGTGTAGACATTTTATGGTGAGGAAATTCCAGCTACCTCGACTTCTCCTGAAAAACGCCCAGCTTCAGGTTCGAACACTTTTGAACATAACTTTGAGATAAATCAATTTATGCATATGCAAGAGATGCTCAACCATGCTCTTAGTCGACATGCTGAACAAGAGTCTCCAAATGAAACCACTTAGAGATTTTACAATTTATTGGCATAAGCAAATCAACATTATTCGTCAGTAAAAATCCGTCAATAATATTAGTATTTTTTGTAGTGTCACTAGCAGCACAACAAGGTGGGAAGATACAACAAATGGATGTAAAGTCTGCATTTCTGAATGGAGTTCTGGAAGAGGAAGTTTATATAGAACAATCTTTGGGTTACATTAGAAGAGGAGAAAAAGGTGTTAAAGCTAAAGAAGGCATGGTATGGTTTTAAGTAAGTCATGCAAGCTTGGAATTAGAAAATTAACACCTATTTCAAGAAGAATGGTTATGAGCAATGTTCATATGAACATGCTTTTTACCTAAAGAAGAATTTGACATGTATATTATTTGTTGCCTTATATATGTAGATGATTTGATTTTTTTTGAAGCAAAGTTGAGCTAGATGAAGAATTCAAAGAAGTAATGACGAAGGAGCTCAAAATGACCAATTTGGGCATCATGAGATATTTTCTAGGATTGGAGCTGGACCAAACTTCGACAAGGATCTTTGTGTCTCAAAGATGTATGTTGAGGATATACCAAGAAAGGCAAAGATCATGAAGTTCAATGTAGTTTCCACTCTAATGGAACCTGAATGTGGGTATCAAAATATGGAGAACATGATCGTGTTGATGCAAGCAAATATTAAAGCTTAATTGGGAGTTTCAAGTATTTCACGAACACAAGGCTAGACCTTGAGCTGAGCATAAAAATTACAAATCATTTTATGAAAGAGTCCAGATATTCTCATTGGAAAACATTAAAGCAGATACTAAGGTATGTAAAAAAACTTTATCTTTTGGATTAATGTATACTAAGTTATACATATATCATCTTAGTGGTTACTTGCATAATAAATTCAATCGTTTAGAAGTGGTGAGACTAAAGTTTATGATTGTGACAAGTTGGCAAGAAGATAAAGAGGATTCGAAAGATTAATAAGGTAATTAAGGTGAACGGAACTCTGATCAACATAAAGTAAAAATAATAAAGATTTAAATCTAATTCAATTCTATAAAATTAATTGATAAAATCTTAATTATAAATATATTTTAAATTAATCTTTTGATAATAAATTTTAAACTTAATTTAACTTTATCTTATCAACTAACTCATATTTAGATATGATAATTCTAATAATAAATGAAATTCATAGGTATCACAGAAAAAAAATATTTCATTAATTAATGTTCAGTCATGTACGTAGAGAAAAGCAAAAGTCATATATAAGGATGAAGAAATCATCTACATAACAAAACGTGACAGACCTTACACGTGAGCATAGAATATTTATTTAGTAATATGACTTGTTAATTATTATAACCATTTTTAAGGTTGAAGGTCATTCCAAAAATCCATATATATTTTCAGATATTTTAATTAATTTGGCATATAATAAAATATATGTAAAATTACTTTAATATGTCCATAAACTGAATTAATTAAAATAAAAAAATAGTCTGGGTTTTGGTCAAATTGTGGGTGCTGTAATTTGGTGATGCTCCCATTGATAAAAAGGAAGGAGTACGTAGGTAAACATCTTATTAGTAAGTTTCATACCTTATCTATCTCAAAGTCAAACAATTGATTCACTCCATTAACGTAAAGAGCCACAAAACAGTGAGGTAACACAGCCTGAAAAGTTAAAAATAAAAACAATTCAAGAGAATGTCTTTTATTGAAAGTTATAGGGTAATTTTAAATTAATAGTCTTTTAAAAAGAATATATATATTTGGAGTCTCACCTGCAGCAAACCGATAAAAAACAATGGAGATATATCTGATAGTTTTTCTACTGCAACTAGAGACGCAGAAATTGTAGCTGTTGCCTGTAAAATACAGATTAAGTTAATTTAAAACAACAACTGTATTAGTTATCTAAAACTTATATTGAGCATAAACTTTTGATTATTAATTACGAGAATGATGGAAAGGTTTGTAGTTACCTGACCATAGAATGCGTAAGGGTAAATAAATTGGTACAAAACGGCCATGAAATTTTTGACAGAGTCGACAATGTTATTGGAATTGGAAGCTTCAGATTCTGACTCAGAAGATGGTACAGTCACGGCTTTCACAGCATAATTTTGAATGCTTTTGTAATGCTGATTAAAAGCTGATAGTTTAAACCCCAAAGGATCATATTGTATTTGAGTTTTTATTTTGTGCTGAGAAGTTTTTGCTCCACCAGAGCCTAATGTACAAAGTGTTCAAAGTTGTAGCATGCACAACAAAAATTATATTTAAAATTATTGAAACTACATCACGACAAGATGATGCAATGAGAGAATGGTAAATTTGAAAATTCAAATTAAAAAAAAAAAATCGTGCTAATAAACCTATACGTTTGTCTAAAAAAATCCAATTATTATTATTATTATTATTATTCTAATTACTACTACTAATACTATTATTATTATTATTATTATTATTATTATAATTATTATTATAACACAGTAAAATATGACCACGTAGCCATCCCCGATTGGTTCAAGTTCAATGGCCAACCTGGGTCAAATAATTTATTACAGTTCAATCCTATCCAAAAATATACTTTGGGAAATAATTTGGGAGCAGTCGAAGGAACAGAAAAATTATTATAAATAATATATTCTTATATCATAACATTTTAATAATAATTAAAATTTATATTTAGCCTAAAATCAATATCCCATACTTTATTTTTTATTTTAGTTAAATTATAATATCACATATATTTTTAAGCTTTAAACCTTTCTTGGTCCTCATATTTGTTAGTGAATCTCAAGTGGATTATCGTTTTTTTTTTCATCTCAATTGGGTCTATATATTTATAAAATTGAGTCAATTAGATTTTTGAAAAATTAAACCAATTAAGTCCCGTTGGTTAAATTTTCGTGTCAAAGTTTGCTTACGTGGGCACATATAGACTGATTTATAAGAGTTATATTATGTGGAATGTGGTATTTAAATCATTTGTGTTTGATGTGTCATAAGACACAACCTTTTATCTTACACCACCGACGCTTCCACCGTTGTCGTCGCTCTCTTGCTTCTCAAGCCGTCTTCTCATTTACTAAACTATCCTTGTAGATTATAAAACAAAAGAGACGTAAAGTCAAGGTTCCCTGTCATATTCTGATCAACATCCGCTCTCTTGGATAAATTAAAAATTGTTAAGATTGGAAATTGTTTGATTTTTTTTGGGCTTTGGGGGCTTAGCCGAATCTTGGAGTGGAAAGGGGAAACGATGTGGGAGATATTGGATTTGTTAACGAGGTCGGGATGATGTCCGATGATGCAGGTGGAGAAGCGTTCAGGTCGCGGCCGATGGAATCGCTGGAAGAGGAGAAGGGTGTTGTTGGCGGCGGTGGAAGCAGATGTTGGGGGTTTTGACGGTGTGCTTCCAGGTGGGGATTGCTGGTTTGGGCCCATATTTGGTCTTCGAGGTGGATAAAGGTTGCGCCGGAGACAATGGCGGTGGTTCCTTCGCCGTAGATTCCTCCATGGTGTCGACCTGATGGTCGATGGCCGATGGCTAATGCAGATTGGGGTGAGGAGCTTGACATAATTGATGCAGATGGCTTAAAAAATGGAGATGTTGCTGCGATTTTGGAGGATGGAGAAGTAGCTGAAGAAAATAATGAAGACGGTGGATGGGACCTGGAGGATTTAGGTCTAGGCCCTGAAGCTGAAACTCCCAAAGCTTCTATCAGTACACAATCTTTTGTTTGTGACCCCAACACCTGGCATGCCTATAAGTCATATTTGGATTCAGAAGTCATCTCTAGCAGTTGATCATGCAGCTGTTGGAAATTTTGATACTGCAATGAGGTTACTGAACCGACAACTTGGAATAACGAATTTTGCCCCCTTGAAATCCATGTTTCTTGATCTTCATACCGGCAGTCATTCCTATCTGCGGCCATTTTCTTTTGCTTCAGTCATATCGCTTGCAGTTGAAAGAGGCTGGACCGAGTTAGCTAGTGCAAACGTGAGAGGGGCACCAACACTTCCTTTTTAAGTTGTCTCAATTGGATGAAAAACTTAAAGTTGGTTATAAATTAACTACTGCTGGAAAATTCAGTGACGCTCTTCGGACATTTGTTAATATTCTTCATACAATTCTTTAGCACTGAGAAATGTTGTTCGTGGAATGTTACTGATCAACGAATTCGTGGAAAAAGATAAGTTTCTTCACTTAAAAGAGGATTTCAAAATTGCAGTGAACTGAATGAGTTTCATTGAGTAGGCTTTTCACGATTATGGCTGCCACTTATGAACCTGAGGATCCTCTGTTTGATCCTTCAACCAGTGACTGTCACCAGTGAAGCTCCGACTGCGACCAGCGGCCGACGGCGAGGTCCATGGCCTGATTGGACCAAGAATGCGCGGTGGCCTATGTCATAATCCTTTAATTTAAATAAAAATTCCACGTAATCAAACCATGGTGATGTGCATGAACCACATAATCACATTTAGACGCCGTGAGTGAAAAGTTAACGGAGAGGGTTTAGTTGGCTCAATTTTATAAGTATATAGACCCAATTGAGACCGAAAAAAAAATATGAACTACTTAAGATTCACCAAATATGAGGACAAATAGAGGTTTTAAACCTACTTTTAAATGATTATATGTTTCTTCAGTTTTAAAGATTTTGTCTCCATAAAAAATCCCGTAGTCCTTAACTTTTAAATTTAATTATAAAATTAAAAATTATGTTACATCATTTTAAATATAATAACTACATGTTCGTAACAGTATTACGTTAAATTATTTATCATTGTCATTATTTTTATTTGTGAAATTCATTTTAATAAATAAATTTAAAAGTGAAGTACACCTGTATATATTTTTAAAATTTTATTTTCTCAATTTTAAATAAAATAAAATATTTTTAATTAAATTAAAATTTACGTACGCACTTATTAAATAATTCATTTTGATTATTGTTGTTTTAGGAAATATATTTGAAGTAACTTATATAAAATAAATTAATTATAGTGAATAAGTAGTACTGTATAATATTTAATGTTAATATAAAGATTATTAAAATTAATAGGAGTTTGTAAAGTATATATATATATATATATATATATATATATATAGTAAATATATATTACCCTACAGCATATATCTAATGAAATGTCAATTACTAACAAAATAAAGAAAACTAATTTGTTAGTGTCCGTATTTGAAGATTGACTAACATAAATATTTATGTAGTAAAAGCAGTTAAAAATAATTTTACTATTTAAAATCTTTCTAAAATTAATTATATTATGTTGTAAAAGATGATAATTAAAGGTGATTGTTTCCTTTTATTAACACCTTCCACCTAATAGATGAACAAAATGATGTTTAGTGTGGGATACTCAGAAAGCTAACAAAAGAACCATAATAAATGTTAGTTGAAGGAATAGGGCATAAGTGATGAGACATACTATCACAGTAAATACTGTTGAAGGAGAGTTTCCTGCCCCAAAGATTTGCACCTACAATTACCATGCATGCTTCCACATATTATTCACAAAATAATTTTGCAGTGAAAAATGAGGCAAAAAAGAAGACAGTGAGTATAAGTACCGGCTGAGAGTGAAGAGACGTTAGGAGAAGATATTAGATGTGCCATAGCCATGGAAACTGATCACAGAGACAGTGACACTAAACTCTATAGAACAGATAAGAACGTAGGGATACCTTTGTATGTACAAGAGAATATATGAATAGGAGATTTTATAGGCAAAAAGATTCCATGAAATAATCAAACATTTTGCAGGCAACATTTTGCAGGCAAACAATTGCAAAATAATCAAATCAAACAGACAGTCTCACGTAAGATAAATTTAAAAGACTTGGATTGGTACATAGAAAATGATCACGCGGATAGTCAACATTGTGCAGGCAAACAATTGCAAAATAATCAAATCAAACAGAACAGTCTCACGTAAGATAAATTTAAAAGACTTTTATAACAGGATGTAGTAGTTTAGATTCTAATAAATTTACAACGTAAAGGTTTGGAAAAACTTTGTTTATTACATGGATTTTTGGAATGTATAAGGTCGTACAAAAGAGAAAAAAAGAAAATAAAATTGAAACATTTTTTTTTCAATCATTTAATAATTTATCGATTGTAGATTTCACACATATTAAAGTAAAAGTATGTAGGTATCTAAGTATATTTTGTCTTTCTTCTAGCATAACCTTATGTATTTTATTTAAATAAAAAATTATAATATAGTTATTTAGTTAGTTTATTAAAGTTTAATTCTGTATCACTTATGAGTGTATAAATATAAACTAGGTTTTCTTCTTCAATCCATGACCATGGCGCTTGAAAAATTTAAAGACAACTCTTAGATTAGTGATATGCAACTTGGAGTGTAAAGTATGGTCATTCAACATAAGAGGAGTGAGCAATGTTTCGTGGATTAATATATAGAATGTTTACAGAATTGTAAGTAAACAAACAAACTCTAAGCCTCCGTAAATTGACATGGTGAGAATGATTTAAACATCAATATATTGTTATTAAAAGATAATGCTTTATATAACTCTAATTTATATGATCTTAAAGTGTTAGGCTAAGCCTTAAAGAAAATTATTGTATGATGTGTAATGTTTGTTGGTGGATTTAAGCTACTTTAGGATTATGTTATATGTGTTTTAAGACATGAGTCTCATAAAAGCTAAACTAGGTTATGATCAATCTAAGTGTTTTAATTGGTTCTATCCAATTGTTTATGAGTAATTGTGATTCAATTACACTAGTACAGCCAGGGGAAACGACAACGGTTATTTTTGTCTATAGGCAGCGGTTTCTGAACCGAGGCATATTCAGGCGAGGTAAAAAGTCCAATACTTTTGGTATCGGTTGAGAACCGAGGCATATAGTCCCACTCTACGGCCTCGGTTCAGATCTAACCGAAGCATGAAGGTTACATGTTTTTTTTAATTTATTTTTTTCGTTGGACATACTGCCTCGGGTCCCTTTAACCGAGGCATAAAGTCGCACTCTACTGCCTCGGTTTAGGCTACAACCGAGGCAGTAGATCCTTTTTTTTTCTCTTCCGCGACACGTTCTGCTTCGGTTTTTACCATAACCGAGGCATAAAGTCGCACTCTACTGCCTCGGTTTAGGCTACAGCCGAGGCAGTATTATACCCTTTTGACTTCGGTTGTTACCAGAACCGAGGATAAGTACGTTTGTTTTTTAAAATGATGTTGTTTTCTGCAACATTTCCCAACCACAGAAACAGACCTGCATATATTTTTATAATTAGAACAGTTTTCCAGACATATTGCAAGAAAAGAAATTTAATTTTAAATGAAATTTATTTAAAACATAATATATTGCATGGAATCATAAATCAAGATTCTTAGAAGCATAAATCAATCCAATTAATCATAAATCAAGTTTCAAGCATAAATCAATGCAATGTACATGTTGATATATAGTAATGTAAAAAGAATAAACACAACTTACAAACATAAACTTAAAACTTAGTATATCCTAAAATCTACTACATACTATTATATAATGAATTACATATTTAGCAAGTGTTGTTCTTCACACTTTAGATTGATTCCATGGAGTTGAAACAGTTCCTAGTTAAATCTCTTGCATAAAGTCAATGATTTCAATTAGTGTATATGAATCCAAATATAGAGAAATAAAATTCAAACCTAATATACCGTTCCCATCCATTGGGTTTAATGTGCAGAATGATGGTCATCATCCAAAACCAACGTCAGTAACCACATTCATATGATCCCCATTTGTACTATTACCTACAAATATCATAAAATTATAAAATGTTAAGTAACATCAATTGAATGGACCCAAATTGTAACAAAAGTATGGACTAATAATACAAAACCTTAAGAGAAATCCTGCAAGCTTAGTTTTAGCATGTAGCAGTAGATCTCCCAGAGAAACATCATATGTTGCAAGGGAACTATGTAAAAAAAATTCTTTTAGCTACATTTTATAAAAAAAAAGGACCACACCATTGAGATTCTTACCAATCTACTACATGTCTAGAGGTGGGAGGAGGAGCGTTATGACATAACAAAACCAAAGCCGTGTTCTCCGTATGGAATCACACGTAGGCTGCCAATGACACCGAATGGTATAACTTATGACATATACCAAATTAATAATGAAGATGTGTTGAAGGAAACAAACTTCACTACCCATGTATATAGGGGAAAGACTGATCTCCTTCCCCGTCCAAAGCAGGTGGTGGATGTTATGGTGGATATCATCCAAATTATGTTCTTTCTGAGTCATTACGAGGGTCAATGAACCCATATAACATGTTGAACCCCCTTCTTGTTACTAACATCAAAACAGTACCTAAAATGAAGAAATAATATGATATAAGTAAGTTGATAAAATAGATAATTATCTATAAAAGTATTTATAAAC